GAAGTTACTTTGCCGGTTTTGTCATTTTCACAGAATTTGGATGTGCTTATAAGGACAGATTAGTGTTCTGTGAAGCTGTACATTAAATAGATTCCTATGAAGAATCTTAATTCCCTACGATAAGTTCAGCAAATATGCTAGTTTTAGCAAGACTGGGGAGTTTCGGTGGTCCTAGGGAGAAGAGGGCGAGTCTCTGGAGTGAAAGGGAAGGACATTCATGTTTTTCAAGGCTGTGGACTGGGGACTTTGGTGTTATTTGTTCCAAGTGTTTTAATCTATGATTTTTGCCTTTCCGTCTTTGTCCCAGTAAAACTTGAGAAAATTTTGTTTTGCTGTCAGATGGGAGACACTTAGAAAAGAACAAATATGATCTCCCCTGCTTCACTGTATCAGTCTCTGTCAGTGAATCAGTGGCTTCCACAGCCAAATACGGACTCTTTTCTGTGGTGGAGTTTGTGATGCAGTCCTGTAAGACCACATGTGAACTCAGTGTTGGAATAAACTCAGTGAGTGTAGTTTACTGAAACGAGCTCTGACATCTACAGCTGAGCTCAAGGCTGCAGTTGAGATGTGTGAAATAAAATCATTGATGCCTTGCTGTGTTTTGTGGAGATTGTACTAACTTCGGGGTGTCCAGTTGATCTTACCTGGAGATAGGGATTGGTCGGCTTAGCACTTTGTGGCTTCAAAGTGGAAGTGGAGCATGCTTGTGGTTGTCTTAGTGTCAGGGAAATACCGAAAGTGGGAGGCTGTCTCTGGAGCCTGTTGTACCTGGTGACAAACAATTGCGCAAGCGACCAGAGGAATGTCTCCATCTGGACCAGTCTTAGGAGGATCAAAGGTTACTCTGCTCAGTGTCCTGCTTGCCGTAAGTGAAGGCATCTTGAGGATTTTAATGCAAGAAGAATACCCCATTCTCTGTCTAAAGTGACCTGCAGTCCTGTGCCCATGGTCCTTTTACATCTTGTCAGAAGGTGCTGCTCTGTCTCTTGGCCTCCTCCTAGGAAAGACACAAAGGTAGCAGTGGCTTTCATTTAGTCTCCAAGGTGTCTGTGAACAAAGGATTGTTCTTAACTCAGGACTGAAGGAATGGGCTGTTTCTCCTCCAGCCAGTCTGTGAGTGAAAAACCAGCAAAGTCCCAGGAGCTTATGGTGGGCAAGGAGCAATACAGTATCCTGGCAGCTGAATAGCTTGTTTGCTGGCACGCTGACTGCAAGAGCTGCTGGTGGTTTTACCATTCAGGAAGAATTTCCGTATTTTTTATCATTCCTATATTTTCTTAAAACTGCCTCTCCCATTACTGTATTGAGATGAAGTCAGAAGATCAGATACAACCTGGTAGTGTTTGGTAATCATGGTGGGCAGAGACTCTCCAGCACTCAGTGCTGACAGGCCTTTTAGCAAAGCATCTCCTGCAAGCTCAGCTCTGAGGAGTGGCCCTGGGATGTGGGCATAGCAAGCAATGCAAAGGGGGATAAAGACAGGCTAAGAGACAAGGAGGATGGAAGGTAGGGAGAGAATTAGGGCCCTGAAAAGAGAATAAAGACAAGGAGGTCAGTCAGAACAACAACAAAGGGTTTTAATCATGGACAAGACTTATAAAGGTGGTGAAGTGAGAAGTGAGAAAAAAGCATGCACATCAGAGGAGCCACAGAGCCCTGCGGGGCTTCTGTGACACTTGGTGTGCAATCCTGAGGGAGTCTTGAGTTTGGTGGTTTTCTTGGTCTCAGTGTTTGGCCTGTGGATCTCCTGGTAGTAGGCTGTGAAAAAACAGTCAATGTAGTGTCATCACTAAACAAAGGAGAAAAAAAATATCTGGATTTCAGTATAAATTTGTTCTTAATAAGTTAATCTACAAAGGAACCTACATGTTTGCTCTAACAACTCTTCAAGGATAGCCAGCTGTGAGGCAAAGTTAAGGTGATAGGAAATTTGGAATAGGTATTTCCTTCTGATACAAATTCCTGGTGTAGACGTGGCTGGTACAAAGTAACTGTACTGTTATCTCATCAGTTATAAAACAGAGGCTATCTCCTTTTTTTTGTTAATTAATTAATGAGCAAAACTCTTATTAGTTTAAACTCTAGCTTTTAAACACATAAACACTGCAGACCAAAGCAATGTTCAGAGTTTTGTCACAACAGGCCCCAGTGTTGGCGACATGTAAAACACGTCCTTTGCTGCTTTGTACGACTGTCTTCCAAAATGGCTGTGGGTGACAAAGTGCTGCTTAAGATCTAGTCTTCTTGCATTGTGTTGTAAGTGAAACAGAGATCTATCATATTGGCTTTATATATAAAGCATATACCCTGGATATTTTTGGAACTATTTTGTTACAGGCTTGGAATTTAAGCTATGATGATACTAATGATATTTGGAAATTAAAGCTCATTACATCAGTTTTCACCACAGGAATAGAGATCACATCCTGTTAAATGTCATATGACTAATCTAATTTTTGCAAATAACCACTTAATTACAATTTCTAAATACTTTTCCATGATGGCCTGTGATGCAATAGCCATGTCTTGGTTAAGCTTGTGGGTTACATGCATTGTTTCCTGGTTATGCTTATATTAATTCAGGATTAGAGAATGGGTGAGATGGAGGGAATGCTTATCTGCTAAGTGCAAAAGGGTATTTTCTAAAAGGGTATCTGCTAAGTGGAAAAGGATATTTTGGCAAGGCAAATCAAATCTCACTCTTCTGATTCTGAAAATAAATGTTTAATATTTTTAAAAATGGGTTTTCTCATGAAAGACTGAATCTTCTTAAATTCTGGTCACTGAATAGAAATTCAGATTGCAAAATCTCTGTAGTGTGTTTTCTGATGACTGCCAAGGTCAGTCTTGAAAATATGCCAAGATTTGGTTAAATATGTTTAGATTGCAGGAATTAGTTGGTTTTGCTAGGAGTTCGGGGAGAAAATGGTACTTCAGTGTTGAAGCCTGCAGAGGTTGCATTTCTGGGGAGCAAGGGTGGGTTTTGGTTTTCCTCTTATCAAGGAGAAAGAAATTGTTATCTAATCATTTGACTTGAGAAGCAAGGGTTTACAGAAAACTTCCCACCCAATATCACAAGCATGGTAAAAAAAATGAAAAATGATACTTCAGAGACTGTAATTGGAAAAAAAAAGTATTTTTGTATTACAGATGACTTTAATATTAGGTTGCATTCTGTCTTTTTAATTTTTGTTGTTGTTTCGATTGTTTGGGTTTTTTTCCTCTCTTGTCCAGCATTCTACTGTTATGGCAGCATTGTTAACACTGTTTCTTAATACTGTGGGCTTTTTCTTGCATAGAGTGTATGCATACTTTTCAACATAGCTTCACCTTCTTCCTGCATTGGGATTTCAAAATCAGGATGAAGGGAGCTGCTAATTTGTTGAGCATTCCAGAATCTCAGTATGGGGTTACTGAGTAGGGATGCAGTGGAAGGGGAAGGGCTAGCAGGGATCTATAGGGCAAAGCTGGTCCTGTACAGCAGCAGCCAGAATGCTGCTTTGTGTGGTAATTTCCTCTTTTTTTGGTAATTATTAGCAGGTCTTTTTTTGTTTGGGTTGGTTTGGGGGTTTTTTGTCATTGTTTTGTTTTTTAGGTTTTTTTTTGCCTTGCTCAGTGAGTTAGCTGTCAATTAGGAGGAGCTCTCTTCTGTTGAAGTGTTGAGGTATTTCATTGTGGCTAAATGTAGTTAGGAATGCCCATTTTTACTCTTGTTCTGTTTTTTTACGTGTTTGTGCTGGTCTGCCAACTAAAATAAATGCCTATGTGTGTTTTTTTGATTGTTGACAAATACTTCCTACACAGCAAACTGGATAAAGGACGACTAGTTGGGTCATTTGAGAGGCCCCATAACATGCTCAACAATGTTTAGGTCTCCTCTGACTTCCATCTGAATTCCCCACTGCAAATCTTCCTGTGCCACAAGCACCAGTGAGCGTTGGTTTCAGCAAGCAGCAGTCCCTGAAGTTGGCACTGTGACAGCAGTGATGGCCAGCAAAGCAGCTGCTGCATTGAAGTGCTCTGAGAATTGCAGGTGGCTGCGGAGGAGCCACGTGTAAAATAATGACAGCTCCGCAGCAGCACCAGTGATATCCTACACTCCAGGAAGGACTCAAAAGTTGACCTCCCCACCAAACAAGTGGTGATCTTTGCTCATCTTCTACATCCTCAAATGTGGCAGCATTTAGATCTTTATTACAGTTGCAGACCACCCGGAGTGGCTGCCAGCTGAAGAGGTGTGGGTGCTTGTCTATCAATTGCAAGGGATTTCAGTACCTCCATTCATAGATGCTTTCTGGCCTTTAAGGAGATGAGTGCAAGTTTGTTTCACTCCAGTGTACATAAGTAATTAATGGTGATCTCAGGCAGCCACCGTCTACTGGGAGAGGTGAAACCAGGAAATGCCTTTCCTTTTGGTCAGTCTTTATTTTTTTCTCCTTTCTGTTCTCACATAGTAATAAGGTCCGGTGTGGGATCCACATTTGGGTCTCATAGCTGTTATTGTGATAATAAGGGCCGGAATGATCACTAACCAAATGGTCACTAAAAAAAAATCTCTTCTGAAAGGAAGCAGTGAAAAAGCCAAACCAGGCTTTCCTATGTTTCCTAGCACGTGCCAGGACAGCTAAAGCAGGATCTTACGTGCTGTGAGAAAAATGGTTCACCACAAACATCTTTAAAGTGACCACCTTGAGGTGTCCTCATTCTTTCTCAAGATGTTGCACAACTTAAGATGACAGTTTTACCATATTGGGCAAAGCAGTGGTTTTGTTTGTTTAGAGCATCTGAAAAGTGGGTTGTGACTGAACTGGTCACTGTTTTGGCATCCCCAGTGGTGGAATGCATATGTGGACAATCAGATCGCTCAGAGGAAGAGGAGAATTTACTGGCATCCTTATCCACATTCCAGGGCATGCCTTTCATCTCCTCATCTTCACTGCTGTGCTGGAAGAAAAAGACAGAGGGTAATTAATATTCTATGAATTTTAGAGACAAAGCTCGAGTGACTTTTGCTGCCTGCATCCATTGTGAGGCCTGTGAATTCCTCAGAGTTTGGGTGTACCTGGTACTTGCACAGCTCCAGTGCTGCAGGTGATGCAGCTAAGGAAAGTTTCAGCAGTTTGATACTCAGGCTTAGGTCTTGTTTTGTTTTGGTTTTTTTCTATACAGTATTCAAGAATATGCATTTGTGGTTTGTGGCCTGTCCATCCTAGTGGAATATAAAAGACAGATGCATTGTATCAACCATGGTCATTGACATCTCAGCAGCAATATGTTGATTTATAGCACCTAAGGAAAGAACCTAAGATTTTTTTCTGCTTCTTGAGAGAGGAGGGAGAAATGTTTAATCAAACTTGGAAAATTCCCTTGGATGACAGCAATAAAACTAGTCAAAAGATAGTATTCATGTCAAAGTGGTTAATGTGATTGTCTCACCATTTTATTTATTTAAAAGAGATTGTTAAACTTGTAAGAAGATCCAAACAATTACAGTTTTATGGAGTTTTCCTTATTAAATATGGGGGACTTATTGTTCATTTGTTTCTCAGGAGCAATGGTAGTTTATTGTGTACACTGTTAAGTTCCATGTTCACTACATCTGGTTCCTTTATATCCAGTTTTATGAATTATATGTTGACCAAGTTGTCTGTTTATGTGTGTACATACATGCTATATAGATAACTGAACTCATTATACAGATAAATTCTTGAAAGTGGTTATTCTGATAATTGCAGGCATTAAAAACTTGAATAGATTAGAGTACCTTAGTCTTATTTAAAGTTCACACGGGTTATACAGGCCTTTTTTTAAAATCAGCTTTTATTTGTTTTAAAAATATAAATAAGTCATAAATAGCATCTTTCAAATAGTTTAAAAACATAAGGTATGCAACAATTTTTCTGGGTTCTGAAAATATTCTTTTGTTGAGTACGTATTAAATAAGTTGCTATTCTGAATAGTACCATTAGAAAATTGCTTAAATTATTTCTAAATATTGAAAATATAAATAAGAAACATTAGAAATTAATAAATATTTTAAATACAATAAATAACTTCCTAGAAGGAAATAAGAATGTATATAAATGCAAACCATTGTTACTATTTCTGGTTCTTAAAACAGAACAACACTCTTGTCTGCCACATGACAGATGTGTAACAAAGGATTGTGCCTGAACTAAAACATTTAGGCACTGAAACTCCTGGTATTTTTCAAATAGCGCACAGCCCTCACTGTTTTCTCCATAAATGAAGTAAAGTCTCGGAGGATGAGGTGGGTGGTGATTTTCTCTATCCAGGTCTTACTGGACTTCAGCTTTGTGCGGAGGGATTCCTGGGTGGCTGCATCTGGGATGATCACTTCTTCGGGATTGATCACCTATGGAAAAAGACAATATTGGGGGGATCCTGGTTAAAACATTGTAAATGAGCTTGTTGGAGAGCATCAGTTTGTTTATTCCCAACCAGCTGCATATCCACAGTTTCTGTACTGCAGACAACAGCCCTCCCTGGGAACTGTGCTTCTGTACAGCCATGCTTCTTGGAGGGGTTTGAGCAATGCTGATGCCTGCTACGATTCCTGTGTAAGAATCTCTGATCTATACTGTTTGCTCTGGTTTGAATGCAACGTCTGGCATTGTGGTCCAACACTGCACTGAGCAGATCAATGCACCTCTCCTGCTGTCTGTTAGTCTTGTGGGGAGGTGGGAAGGCCCTGATCATGGTTTGTTCTAACCTGTACTGGTTGCTCCATCCTGAGTTACATAAGCTGACATTGGGAGTAAAAACTCTCATGTTTTGTAGTAGATTAACAGTTTCCAACGATGTCAAATTTGTTTAGTTGCTTAATTCTTACTTTCCAGGCATTTAGTCACAGAGGAGACTGAGTGCCGCCAACTTTCACTGATGTGTGGGAGCACAACTACAAGATGAGTGAAAGGAGTTATGTACTTTATTATTATGCAAGCCTCCTTCTGGAACATCTTTCTTTTTGTGAAATATAAAATATAAATATTCTTTCTGTCCAGACTACTTGGAAGTGGATTCTGATCACACCCCCTGTTACTGATATACCCAGCTCCTTGTTGGACTCTGTAAAAGTTTGTGTCTGGATATCCAGACAAGTATTGTCCTGGTGGATCTATCTAACCACAAGTGACAGATTCTTGCCTTAAATAGCAGATTTTTCTCTCATAAAGAAAAATTTCCAACTTGAAGATGAAGACTTTTTCTCAAAAATTCTGTAGTTTCTACAAGTACAGGTTTTGCTTTTGATCACTGTGTTTAATTCTACCTGTTTGATTACATTGATTGTACTAATTTTCCAAAAAAACCCCCTAATTTCCCTCAGTTATGAAACAAACTTTCTGCAAACTAATATATCAAGTTGGAAGCCAGTAGTCAGTTGCTGTCTTATGATGGGGCTATTATTCTCAGCTAGCACTGTGTGAAAAAAGCAGTTCAGCTTCCTTTCACTTTAAAGAATGATGGGCATAAATCAATATGTTAGGAAAGGTATGGCAAGCAAACAATGGACTTTTCACACACCAAAAATCATCTTGAAGGAAATGATACCCTGAGACTTTTGCAGTCCTTACGTGGATGATTTTTACTTGGGCAAATAGATCCCCCAATGACAAAGGAAATATTTATGTTAAGGATTTTTAATGTGAGCAAGAACTACAGGAAATAAGTGAATTTTTGAAGTGTGATCTTTCAGAGCTCTCCAAAACATGGAAAATGTCTGTCAGAAATAAGTAGCATTTAGTTTACCAAATCAAAATAGCATTTGTCAAGACAGGGTTTTTTTTCCATGATCATTACAAGCAAAATATGTGCTTTTTAATAGGCAGCTATCTTCCTTGATTTTTAAGCTGCTGATAGATATTTCAATATACCATACAGCTTGGCTTAAAAGTTTGTTTTGGAGAGTTTTAAAGATCAATACTATTGTAAAAATGTATTTGCCTTTTTTTTTAAATGCATTTAATTGGTTTGGAAATTAGAAATTCAATAGAAAGTAGGAAGAAGAGTTGTTCTTTAAGAAAAGAAACCAAAACTTTGTAAAACCTCTAAATTAGTCATGAGGATAAGATCTGAGCATAAGGAACTGTCACCTGTTGTTTCATTGGGAAATGTTCAGCTTCACATAGCATCCTCTATCTCTGACTGCACATCAGTATTAAGCCATAACAGTTATCAGAGTGAATTTAAAACCAACTCACCATTTGTCTTATGGTATGTGCCAGGTGCTCTGTGCTATAGCATAGCGATTCAAGGTTTTGGTTTTCACTAATAAAAGTTTCTTGCACATATTTGAGGTATGTCTGAAATGTATAAAGCCCGCTGGAGATTTTTTTCAAGCATTTATCCTGAAATGAGAGAAAGGTGAGAAAGTCACTTACAGCTCAAAATGCCTTGATCGCAGTGCTGTGTGCAGGTTAGGAGATGATGCTTATACAGAGTGTGGAGGTCTGGCTAAAGCCAGCTGGAGCCGGCACAAATCTTTAGGTCAACTTCCACAGGTTTTTTTAGCAGGCAAAAGTTGCCCCAGGCACATGGGGTTAGACCAGAAAGGAGTTCCTTGCCTCATCGAAGCCGGCATGCAGACACCCGTCTTCCTCCGTCACTCTGGGGAGGTTCAGGTTGTTCCGGAGGAGCATTTCCATGCTGTTCTCGCAGACGGTGAACTTCTCGCACATCTGGGGAGAGACACCAAGAAGTTTCGGTCGCACCTTGGCCGGAGGCAGCCCCTCCCGGGCCGGGTGTGTGCGCGAGTGCGAGCCCGCGGGCCGCCCGTACCCACCTCTCGCTGCAGCTGAGCCGCCCGGTCGCGGAGCAGCTGCGCCAGCCGCAGGCTGTGGGGCAGCGCCGCCCGCCGCGCCGCCGCCTCCTCCGGCTCGGCCTCCCCCGAGGAGTCTGCGGCCCCGGGCAGCGGGACGGCGGCGGCCCGCGGCAGCAGCGGCAGCAGCAGCGGCAGCAGGAGGATCGGCAGCGCGGGCTGGCGGCGGCCGGAGCGGGCACGGGCGCAGCCACAGCTCGGGGCGAACTTCATCGTGCGGCTTCTCGGCTCCGGCCCCGGCCCCTTCTCGTCGGCGAGGCTGGCGGGCTGAATGAGCTCCGGGCATCCCTGAACGTGTATTTATCGAGGGGGCTTCGAGATTATTCATGGCCTGGGAAAATCCGGCATGAGAACACGGAGGGGGGGGCGGGTGTGCTTGAAGGAGCGTGCCGGCTTGACACTGTTGGAGAGCGGGATTGTGAAACGGGGCCGGTGGGAACATGAAGTAATCCTGCTCCGTAATTCCTTGACGGCTGGGCTGCCCCCTGCACACACCGCCGGCTCACCTGACCCCGCGGGGTCTCGGCCAGGGCCAGAGCTGGAGCCCCCGTGGTCCAGCTGTCTCTGAGCCTGCGAACCGCACAGAAAGGCTTGGAAATCACCTACCTATTTTCCATGCGTACACTATATATGCCATATACTTTCTGGTATTTCAATATTTTAAAATTTATATTTTGATATTTTATGTTTATTTAAAATATATGGTTTAATATTTTATGAATTTTGTATGATGTATATTTATCTCTGTATTTTGGCTATTTTTATTGTATATATATATATATATATATGTGAAACTAAACACCCCTGTTTAGGTGCAGGGTATGTACAAGTTGTAAGTTGCCTCTTCCCCTGTGAACTACATATGGGTAGATTAAATACATCACATTCATACACTTTAAGTGGACCAAAACCAGCTCCCACAGCTCCAGCAGGAGGGTGGCTGCAGGAAATGCCATGAAATTCCCTGTTATCTGCTGCCTTATCTTTTTCTGCCTACCTGGTCAGTGTTGCAGGAATTTTAACCTTTCAGAGGGACTCTTCACCCAGGGCAAGTGTGCTTGTTTAGATCAATCTTTTAGAATGCAGACTGAGTCAAACTGGGCAAGGCACGCTGACATTGAACTTCTGGAATGTCTCGAACTGATTTTGGCCAAACTGACTTTTTTTTTTTTTTTAATATGAAATCGGTTCTGTTTTCTCACATAACGAAGACCAGAGTGAGACCTGATTCTCCTTTGGGAAGTGCTAACAGGCGGGTGCAGAGTGAGGGGAACAGAACATGGGGCATAAGAGAGGTGATAGACAACACAGTGACTGAACTTGGGTGTCCTCATTTGGATTCTCCCTTTAAAAAAAACCCCAGATACTTCTAATTAATTTTCAGCTTGAATTCACATTCAGCTTGGATAGAGAGCCTCAGGAAAGAAGCAGGGTGCTACTGTTTTTTATTTAAAGTCTCGTTCTGCCAGTAACAGAAAGGGAGCTGCAGTAATTTTGCCCAGTTGAGAGATATTAGAGCTGGAACACAAGTGTGAGAGAGCAGTTTTCAACTGAAGCAATCCGTCTCTGCCCAGGTCCCTGAGCACAGCAGAGGGGATATTGCCAGAACAGTATCTGCTGTAATGTTAGCTCTCCCTTACTAAGTCTGTGGAGTTAGGCATAGAAGAAAGCATACCGCTAACGGTACATTTGACTAGTATCAATTAAAAGATCCTATTGCAATGGTACAAAAGGATTAAAACAGCCAGAACAGATGAGCTCAGTGCCTGGTATTTGCCTTCTGATGACCATCAGAGGCAGGTACAGCAGGGAAGGAACTCCTGCCTACCTCTTTTTCCATTTGCCATAGCATATGGATGTACGTGTCTCAGAGAGGGATTTCCTTCCGCTGCCAGGCGACTCATAGGCTGTTCCCTGCAGACAGTCAAACTTTTCCTTTACCTAACCAAAGTGAAAATACTGCTCTTAAAATGACCAAAACTTGGTAGAAGCTTGTGTTTCCTTCAGAAATTTTTTTCAGCAGGCATTCTGTAATTGAGTCTTGTCTGTAGCTCTGTAAGTTTTAATTTTGTAACCTGATTTTATGGGTTGTCATTTTCTTATTATGTCATGAAAGTATCTATTCCTTAGCAATTTTCAGAGAACCTTTTTGTGATGATCATTGTTATACAGTCTTGATGATGTGTGTAGTTACATTTTAAGAGTGAAATAAAAGCAAGTTTCAACTGTTGTTCCTCACATAAAAGTCTCTAAGCCTTCAGTTATTATTTTCTCATTTTGGGGTTTTGTTTACTTTTTTATATGAATGTCCATGTGACTTTTCAGAAGTACAAAGTATACTTACATGCTCCAGTGGAAGTTGCTCATTAATGCCTTAGAAACTCCATTTGATAATCTAGGACAAAGCATAGCATTCAAGGGAAGAAGGAACTGGAATTTACACAACAGCATTAAAATACTTCTTCTATTGCTGGGGACAGTTTCTTATGGAAAATCACTTATTTAATTGGTACTGTACATAATAGAAATACTTTGCACTGATCTATCTATAGTAATGGTTAAAGTTTGTGGAGTGCTTAAAGGAGGTCAGTTAATCCACACTGTACTACACTGAGTTACACTGATTTATCAGTAGTCACGTTGTTCAAAATGTATTAAGCCCTGAACAAACAGCACTTGCTCATGAGTTAGATACAGGTCAGAAGATCTGCCTGGTATTTGAAATGCATGAGTAGTATTGCTGAGACTCTAAGTTGTAGTTTCTAGATACCAAGGAATTTCTTTCCTGCATAACATCTCTGTAATGCTGCCAATTACTGTTCTTTTTATTTCTATTGCACTTCATTTCACTGTGCAGGTTATTTTTTTCCTTGGCATTTATAGTATCAACCAGATGGCTGCATTCTGACATGTAAAACCTTCCTAAGGTGTGATTTCAGAAATTCTCAGTGTTTATCCAACTTTTTCTTCTGTCTGAGAAATGAGAATTACTCCTGTAGGTTTCTGTAGGAGCAAAGGGTCCAGTTATGAATGTTCTAAAAAATCTCTCCTCTCACACTTTCCACACATGAAATTGTTCCTGATTGCAGTCAAGTGTGAGTTTATAGCCAGGGAGCCAATCCAGAATCATCCCATGTGTCAATATCTTGTTTTCTAGGATCAATGTGCAACTCACCGACCTGTTCTGGAACAGGTTCTGTTTCTTCTAGAATTGCTCTGCCCGGGAGCAAGCCCATGCCACTTTTGCTCCTGATAACCTGGGAGATCTGTAGAGAGGAAGCTGTTTTCGGGAGAGGTGGTTGACAACAGCATGGAAATGGTAGTGCCACTAAAGAATTCAACAAACTGCTGAGCTGTCACGGTCAAAGCTTGTCTCCCCTCTTCTGTCGGCTGTCAGGCACATGTCTGCAAGGAGCCCTACCGTGAGGCAAGGTAAAACACAGCAGCAGGAGACCTTGCTTGCTGAATGCTGTGAGTCAACTAAATGGCTACATAAATGGCATTCCTAAATAGAAAAATAAGGTATTTTAGTAAAGTAGAATTACTAGGGTTACAGTATGATCCACTTTGATTTGTGTTTGCTTTGACTGTCTTTCTCTTTCTAATAATCTCCACTGTGCTACAGTATTAAGACAAACCACTGATACTTATTGGGGGATTATGACTTTAAATAGTACTGTTCATAGTAAGAGATGAAATACAAATGGAAATATGGTGTTCTTCTATAGAAGTGTTAGATTTTGTGTGGAAGAAAATGCCAATTGTCAGAAGACTGTTCAAGAGGGATCATGACGGTGACTGAGCAAATAACTTCCAAATGTCTTGAATGAGGTTGGAAAGCTGATGTCCCCTGACATATTTTTGGTTGAATTTATCAAAGCTTAAAATGAGGGAACTTGAGTTCCTACAGATCTTGTAAAGAATGTCAGAGTTCTTTGTAGTGTTAAACCAAGCTGCCCTGTGCTGTATTTGAAGTGAACAGGTTGAACAGGTCAGTAATACCCTGTGTTCATGTTTCTCATAAGCAAACATTGCTTTGACAAACTGCATGTCACCGAAGACCGATGGAGCACTTGACTAACAGCCTGTTGCTTTTGTGGCTTTGCAAGTTCTTTGATTCTCTGTTGGTTGTTTGCCAGGGAACTGCAGAGCTCTTTGGGGATTTTTTGGTGAAAAACTGGGGGTTGCTCATTTTTCTTTCCTTAAGGAAAACATGCATCATTTTTAAACAAGACTAGGTCTTATTACAATAAGACCTAATTTTTTTTCTTTGAGTACATCATATGCAAATACCATGGATTTCCTTGCCTTCAGCTAAATCAGAGGTCTAAAGGAAAAATGCTTGCTTACCTTTAAATTATGTCCTGGTTTTCAGCTTTATCTGCTTCATTTCAAGAAGAAGAATCATGCCATGGTCTTCTCTAGTCAACTTCTAGGCATGCAGGCAGGCAGTCCTAGGAGAAAGAGGTCCTAAGGATAACTGTTCTTGGGGAATATCTGAGTGGTACAAGTCACTTTAAGTAGACACATCTTCAAGTCAAAATGATTTCAGGCATTTTAATGCTGGAATGGGAACATCGTGACACTTGACAGTGAAACTAGATTTGCACTAGGAGCACTTTGCTGTTGTGGCTGCACCAATAAATGGCATCAGGAAGCAATTCCACGAACTTTTCTTATGGAATGAAAGTAGCTGTTGCTTTGTCTCTATCACAGTGCTGTGTGTGGTGTGGTGGGTACCTCTTCATAGGGCTACATCAGGCACCAGATCAGAGAACTGGATGAGTTAGGAATACCCCAATGGCCTTTGGTCTTTCACAAGCACACTTCCACAGTACCTGCATGCTGTTATCTGGCTTATTTGTGAGCATTACCCACTGTGGCAACACGCTGTTTTGACAAGGATCCCATTTGATGAGTATTGTGTTTTGAATTTTGTAGGGCTGTACTTCTAAAGAAAATCTCCTTCCCCTTTTAAAAATAAACTGAGTGTAAATTCCACTTGTGTTCAAGGAACCTGTTTGTTCCCTTTGAGCTCTCTAAGCATAAAAGATGAAAATTCAAAGAAATTGTATGACGAAGCAGAAAAGTGAGGGGAAGTCACGGGGGAAGATGAAGAAGCTGAAAAGAGAACACAGTGAGGAGCCTGAGTGTATGGGAGGTACTGAATGGTGTAAGTATTTATCTTTATTGTTTGCCATTTTTAACATAGT